TATAGAAAATGGAATCTAAAAGTTAAAGCCAGCAACATTGAGTAGTTGATTTCTTCATCAGAATAAACAACTTTCTAAGTTCTGCTTACAAAAAAGTTGTTAAATAGCTTTTTAAAATGAACTATAATTTTTCATATTTTACAAGAAATAACTTATCTGATAGGTGTAGGTCTCGTATGTATAAAATATTAAATGTATTTAACTAATGTTATAGTAATATGTATGTATTTATATCAATTCTTATAAACGTTCCGTAGACATTAATTTAATTTAAATAATTCTACGTAGGCATAAGTTGTTTACGTGCCAATAACAGCAAGCATTGACATTGAGTCATTACATTATTCATTGTTTACTTGAGTTTATTGTAAGTATTTATTATGTGACGCAACTCGCTGAATTGTTTAAATGCCGGCACGCAGTTAACGTAGATTTCTCTTTTTAATTTTTATTTTTATCTTTATATGATATTTGATGTTCAAATAATCTGGTTTTTAAAATTAATGTATTTTTCACCACTGTTCTGCAATTCCTTTTATTTATAATTTATCAAACTATAAAATCAATTGCTCTGCTCTATTGCAAAAACTAAATTCATTATTTTCAAGGTCAGAAACTCGGCAAAATGTTGCCTTTTATTGCGACCTTGGAAATACAAATGTAGTGGCTATATTTCCTATTTTTAACGTAATCTTTTCCATTCCGTATCATCATTATGTTACCTCCATTTTGATTGGTCAAAATAATTCGTATGTGCGAAGAGAAATTTAATGTGAATTTTTAGTGTTTTAGTAATAAGCTTTTACTAAACTGGAATATACAAGGTCGCTGATATGTATGCAAACGGTCGATTGCCTCCTGAAGTAAGATAGTTATGAAAAAATCATCAGACACGAACGTTTTAGGGTTTTTAAAAATCTATTACAATAAAGAAAGATTAAATTACTGCATTTTTGAAAGCACCGTAAAAAATAGGTGAACTTTATTAAAGCTTCTGCATACCTAGGTCTTATTGTTTGTGAGATATTTCAATTTCAGTAAAAATGCAGGCTTAGCGTAGAAATTTAATATTAACAATAAAAAAAATAATTTTAAGGAAGCAGCTTTGGAGAGTGTATTTTAGATCCTTAAAGTTATAAATTATTGTATTTATCTTCACTTAGTATTGTACAGGGTATTTAAAAAACTGCTAAATACTTCTCTCAACTTTAAACACCAATAACTTGGTTATTTTAAGTGGAACACCCAGTGTATTTTTACTCTGGAAGTTAGAAAATTTAAAACTCTTTAGAAATGTGTATAGGTTGCCTATACCTATCTCGTAACGGTATTGGAGATATTTATGCCGTTTCGTTTTTTATCGAATTTTTTTGTAAGATGTATCCACGTGTCTTTATAGAGGTCTTTATTGAATTAGTAAAGCGTCAATCATGATAACATTCAAGAAAGTTTTCTAATAAAAAATATTATGTTATAAGCAGAATAATTATAAAAAGTTATTAGGTAATATGATATTTTCACATTCCTTAGAATATCTGGGATGAATGTGGCAAGTGCATCTCTAATTCTTTCCTTCATATGATCGCAAGTAGTAGGTGGAACACTGTGTACAAGATTTTTTATATAGTCCGAAACAAATAAGTTCATTACGGTGATGTCTGGATACCTAAGTGGCCATTGACATGCGCCATTCTTACTTATCCATTAATTACTAAATTTTTGATTTAAGTAATTTCTCACTGAATAAGAAAAATTTAAAGGTGCGCCATTTAATTGCATCATCCTTTTTCTCCTTATATTTTAAGAGACGTTATCAGGAAGAACCCAAACCAATTCAATAAAGACCTCGATGAAGACACATGGATATATCTTACAAAAATTTGATAAAAACGAAACGCACAAATATCTCCAATACCGTTAGAGATAGGTATAGGAAACCTATACACAGTTTGAAAAAGTTTAATTTCCTAACTTCCAAAGTAAAAATATACTGGGTGTCCCATTTAAAATAACCAAGTTATTACTGTTTAAAGTTGAGAGAAGTATTCGGCAGTTTTTTTAACACTCTGTATAATACTTAGTGATGACAAATATAATAATTTATAACTTTAAGGATCTAAAATACACTCTGCAAAGCTACTTCCTTAAAATTATTTTTTTATTGCCAATATTAAATTTCTACGCTAAGCCTGCATTTTCACTGAAATTGAAATATCTCACAAACAATAAGTCCTAGGTATGCAGAAGCTTTAATAAAGTTCACCTATATTTTTATGGTGCTTTCAAAAATGCAGGAAAATACATAACTTTGATATTGTACGCTTTTCCTGGACACCCTATATATTTCAAAATATTTTTAAAATGTAGCCGTAATCGACCTATACGTGCCCACCTAAACAGGTTTTTATAACATTTGCCGTTTGGTCCCTAGCGACCAAGGCATTACTGCGGTGGCCCACCCTGTATATGATCAGTCAAAAAGTCACGAGGAAACAAAGTTGCTTTTTCTTTTCTCTGTATATTATTCCATATTTCAATTCTCCTCGAAATTTTAAACAAAATTCACATAGCACATAATATGAACAATTTGTTTTGTGTAACTGTTTGAGTTAATTATTACTTTACAAAATTTCAGCTTTTACGGCGTCAGTTTGCGTAGCGCATATTTTTTAGTCATTTACGTGAATAGCTGAAGCATAATCCTCCACTCCAAAGTCAGCTGATTGCGTTTTTTTGTTTGTTTATAATATAATCAACATATCGACAATCACAGATACATCCCTCGTAAGTGCGCGAGCTAGAGGCTGTTTATACTCAGCGACCATTATACTAATGGCAAAAGACATTGTTAAATTGGGCCATTACAAACGTTTTTATTATTTTTTGGTTTGTGTGAAATTTATTCTTACTTAAACTTAAACTTAAAGTGAAAAAAATATAAAATACCGTCCGTACGATATTTGCTGAGATAAAAATCCAAGAAGACCCTACGTCATTCTCTTGGAATTAACCGCATTCGACACCCGAGCTAGAAAGACATTAGCGGCGTTGCGTTCACAATTGTATTCTAGTTTATTTATGATTTTTATTCTACTGTACCGGGTGGTTCAAATTGGTCGGTTTTCAACGGTTACTGCGAATATGTCATAGATAGAGCAAGCTCACTTTTCGAGAATATACAATAGCGCAAATCGCATCTCCCTATCTGTTACGTTTTTGGCTAAACCGACTGGTGCCATTTTCTTGTTTCCCTTTCAAGAAATCTTAAAATAGTTTAAACATTTTAGAGCCACATTTTTGAGATACATTTGGGGGCATAAAAATAAATGAGATAATATTTTTAGTTTTTGTGATATGATCACAATTTGTGATTTTTTTATATGGAACCTGTATTTTATTTCAAAAACGGAAAGAGGGCTAAAAACATTTTTCAAAAATATGTCCTTAGTATTTTTTGTGTAGATTTGCGGAAAATATAAAATTTGCAAAATACCAGCGATATTTAAGTTTTCTGATTGAGAAGGTTTTGAAAACAAACAAGTTTAACGTTTAACATTATTAAAAGCGTGTTAACACAAATCACAAATGGTTCTTTTGAATTTGAATGTAGTAAAATTAATGTAATACGATTGACATGCGTTTATTAAATTTTAAGTATCCAGAGAAGCCACAACCCAACTTGAGAATTTTCGATAAATTAAAATTGAATTTGAATACTTATGTATCTTACACTAAACCAAAGAACAAAATTTACAACAGAGCTAACCGAGAATAAGATCAGAATAAATCATCATTTGTACTCGGAAGATTTTAACAAACGACGAAATTTTTGTATTTCGTTTATTCAGGATTGCAATCAGAAACCTAATGTTACAAAAATATCGTGTGGACAGATGAGTCTTATATAAGTAACTATGGCATACATATTTATTAGAAACAATAATCATCACTATTCTCAAAATAATTCCCATTCTACCGGTACTACAAATAGATAAGGTCGATTTGGATTTAGTGTCTAGTACGGTTTGATTAACAACCATTTATTTTAATAGGACCGTATTTATTTCATGATAATCTTACTGGAGCGCTTTATGTAGAAATACTGAAAAATAATTTGATACCATATTTAGACAATGCTGCTCTTGCTAATCATCAGTAGGTATATTTTCAACAAGATGGTGCCACCTCGCACAATGCTCGGCAAAGTAGGGCATATCTTGATCAAGTATTTCCGGAAAAATACTTTATTTCGCTGGCCCGATCGAACTTGCGATATTACACCACCTGATTTTTGGTTGTAGGACTACTTAAAAAATATATTTATAAGAAGAGACCCAATACCTTTGAAGAATTAATGAACAGAACAATAACACATTTAATGATTAGAAATGCTACTACTAGCGTTACTAGTTGCATTGCAGAAGAAAGCAGATAATCTGAACATATAAAATAATAGTGTCGATTTTCAAATATTTATCTAACAATCGAATTTGCCGCCCGTTGTTATGTTAGTAATGAGATTGGCAGAAATGTCACTAGTTAGAGAAGTTGGGAAGAAGAGGAAGAAAATATTATTCAGAGAGGTTAGAAGACGACGCTTTGCCGCCGTTTATTATTAGTTTTATGAAAAAGGCATAAGAAAAAAATTTATTTGATTTAATCTTTACTGCTTTAATTTTTAATTTCAAGCTACCCGTGTATCCAGCTTGACATTTCAGGAATTCAGTTAATTTAAGAGTTTATTACATTGTTTTCTACTTTTTCCTGAGCACAAATGTACTTTTTTACCAGAATCAATTAAATAATTTAGTTATAAGTTATTATACAAATAGTTTTGATAATATTTGAAACAAAACTAAAAGTGACACTTATGAATATTTATAAGAACTTAATTTTTTTCTAACGTGACAAACAAGTTTATTGAGACAACAAATTTATCTGAAAAATAAAACTAAAACTGAAATTACATATAAAAGCAGAATATTAGTAGAAATTATTATATACATCACTGCAGAAACATGAATACATTAACAATTGCATTTGTAACCTTCCTCGTTTGTCAAGTGCAAAGTGCTACAGATGTGTCGCCAAGTGTTGTTCCAATTATTTCCGAAACGATTGCTTTGGAAAAGGATGGAAATTTTCACTACAGGTACCTACCTTTCTTTAGTAAGCAACTGTTGAATTGTCATAGAAAAATGTGAAACTAAATAATATTTACAAAAGTGTTATAGCATCTTAATTTTATATCTTTAGTTTTAATATTTTTTTGGTCTACCTAATGTGAAATACATTTGAAAAAATCAATATGTGATTATCACGTACAATTAGACCTGAACTTTGAGGGTCTAAAAACAATTTGAAAATTTTTAATTTTCATTATGTTAAGAGGACTGTTTTTCACATTGATTAGTCACTATTAATTCCTTAATAGATCTTAAACCAGTCTCGATAAATAAGGACGATTAATCAGTGGAAGTAATTATTTTTTGAAAATCAGTACCCACTTTTTTACGCGTATACAGAGCTCTTTATCTCATTTTATTTACTAGTCCATGCTGAAGATTATCATTATACACGTGTTTTAAAAATAAATAGCACAAATGGTAACAGTTATTCTACAGCTAAAAGGACATTTTTTGCTTAAAAATTACCTTAGTAAAATATTCCCCCCTTAGGATACACAGCCTCTTGAAGTTACAAAAAAAATATATGGAATAGCCGCTGTAATTTGAAAATAAGTTCATGTATAATTTTTTTTTTAAACAAGCTTTTAGTGTCACCATGCATTGTCATCCAAACTAAACGCGTAGGCAAAATTTCAGCTTAATCCGTTGGGGATAACTGTTTTAAAATTCATTTGCAAAATTTGACCCGTATTAAACAAGGCAAGTTAAATAAAAGCTTGTAAAAATGTTGTAAAAAAGGTATAATAGTCAAATTTTACTCAAATTTTCTAGTAATACACGTGTAACTTCTCAACAGTTTTTCGAAAAATTTGAAGTTCTACTTTCATATTAATAACACAGCCTCACCAAAAAAGGTCGTGATCTGAATCCGAGGTCAAAAAAATTCGTATACCTCTTAAATTTATGTGTAGAGCCAAAAACATCCCTTAAATAGGGGTAAAGTTATGAATACCAGTGTCATTATGGAAATAAGTATAAATGGGCACTTTGCAAACTCAATACCGTTGTCAGATTTCTCTTCTCAGATTGAAAAACTCCAAAGTGAATTTTCCGGTATTAAAAGTTTTTCGAATACTTCTTGTGAATTTGGAGGTGGTTTCCACCTCTTAGACGGGTACGGGCAATGCAGGTGAGGGCTGTTCTTCTCAGTTAACTGCGACCACTGCGCAGTCAAAACAATCTTCCTCCACTCCGTTCAGCAAAGGGTAGTTTTTACCCCTTTAGGCTGTGTTCACCCTCCACCATGTCTCCCTTGCATTCTCAAGAGCTTGTAAGCTAGAAGCTTTCTTGGCGCAGATCTATGTCCGGAAGGATATAGAAGTACAAAGGGTATAGAAGGCGCACCAACCCCGTCGAGGGAATCCTTAGATATAATAAATGAGAGCACGAGGGTTGCAAAGTGCCCATTCATACTCCTTTCCATAATGATATGGTATTCATAAATTTACCCCTATTTAAGGGATGTTTTAGGCTCTACACATAAAAAGTAGTATACGGTTTTTATTTAACCTCGGATTCAGATCCGGCGTCGAAAAATACATAGGTATACCATGGTCAGTCATCTAGATCACGACCTTTTTTTGTGGGGTTGTGTAATTTATTCTTCAATAATAAATATTGGAAAGAAAATAAAAGTTCTTTGAACAATTCTTCTTTAATACTTTTGTACCTAGTGAAATGTTGGTAATTCAATAATCCAGCATCATTTCTAAAACCTGTTGCTGAAGAAATTTTAAATAATATCGAACATTTTATTTGTAGTTATGAAACTGGAGATGGCATAAAGGCTCATGAAGAAGGTAATCTCAAAAAAGTAAATGATGAATTAGTGGAAACCGTTAGTGGTGGTTGGGAATATACTGCACCAGATGGAAAAGCTATTTCCATTTCTTATGTTGCTGATGAAACCGGCTATCATCCCACTGGCGACTCCATTCCAGTAGCTCCTCCTATTCCTGAACCGATTGCCAAACTTATTCAGTACTTAGAAGCGCACCCTCAACTACAAAAAGTCAGCGAAGAATCTACAACATAACTTTCGAAAATTAAGGCCCTAATTACAAAACCTATGTAAATAAACAAAAATGATATAATTACTAGATAATATAAAAAATGCTATAAAAAGAGAGTTGCAAATAATAAATATATGAATATATACAATACTTTGTTTTGATCCTTATTTATTTAATTTATGTGTAAAAACAATCATTTAATTAAACGTTATATTTATTTCAAGAAAGGTGACATTTGTACTAGGATTAAAATATAAGAATAGTGTTTCGTATACTTAATACAATAAATAATTGGTGCGAATAAACACATTAAAAGCAATGAATGTATTCACATTGTTAAATTATCGAGTATCTATATTTTCATTTAGTATTGAGCATTTTGACAGTTTGATTAGTTACGTTACAATATAGCAACGATTATAAGAATAAACTCATATTTAGTGCTAAATCTAAGTAAATATTTCCAAATTCCTTATTAAGGAGATTTTATACCAGTTTACAATGTTGCTATTTGCTTTTGCCTTTTGGTTATTATAGATGGTCTATTTCTACTACTATTGTCACGTTTCCGTTGGTGTTGCGTCCTAAAGATGTTATGGCAGAAACTTCGGTTAGCACACAGTCGGGGTTGGTCGTGCGATATTTAGAACTGTAAAGTTCAGGGCGCCAGTAACCTATCAAATACCTACGTTTCTCAGGTCCGGTTACAAAATTTTAAGTTCAAAAACTTACTCGGAACGCTTATGACAAAACCTGTAAAATTCACAACTTTACACGCGCACAATAAAGAAATAACATAACCAGGAGATAATAATGATTTACTAAATAATAATTATTATGAATATTGTAACATAGACAACAAAACTATATGTTCATACAGACATATACAGGGTGTTTCAGAAAGACCTCCAACAAAAACGACAAAAAATAAGAATTTTTTTGTCTTATGAACTATGTGTCTATCTCCTCTTGTTTTTGAGATACAGAGCGACAAAACAAAATTTTTTAAATAGAATTTTTACGAATATTTTCAAACGGTGCGAAATATTTTTATGAAATTTTGTATTTCAGGGTTTTTAAGGATTCCAAATACGCTGGTCTAATTATTTTTTGTATATTTCATAAAGGGTGCTAATTATGCTACATTTCTATTACATTTCAAGTTCTAATTTTTGTAAGGTTAGGTTTTTTACCATTCGGGCTCCAATTTATAATGTACAATTTTATTTTCTAAAAATAATGTACGCTTCTCTTAACTTCCTAATGTGGATGGTTTTCGAGAAAAAAGGCTTTTAATTGAACTCTTACAACATTACGGTGTATAAAATAAGTTACCTTTCTCAAAGTAGGCTTATGTCAAAACTTCTTGATGGATGTATCAAAAACAACGGATACATTCTTAGTAATATTTTAAACTCTAATTAACCTTATATCAACATTTTAGTGATTGTTAGTGACTGTAGTTAGTAATGACTAATTACAATCACTAAAATTTTGATATAAAGTTAGAGTTTAAAATATTACTAAGCATGTATGCATTGTCTATGATACATCCATCAATAAGTTTTGACATAAGCCTTCTTTGAGAAAAGTCATTTATTTTATACACCGTAATATTGTAAGAGTTTAATTAAAAGCCTTTTTTCTCGAAAACCGTCCACATTAAGAAGTTTTAACAAGAGTACATTATTTTTAGAAAATCAAATTGTTCATTATAAATTGGAGCCAGAATGGTAAAAACCTTACCTTAAAAAAATTTGAACTTAAAATGTAACAGGAATGTAGCATAACTAGCGCCCTCTATGAAATATCCAAAAAATAATGAGATCAGCGTATTTGGCATCTTTAAAGTCCCGGAATACCAAATTTCATAAAAATATTTCGCACCGTTTGTAAATTTTCGTAAAAATTCTATTTAAAAAAATTTGTTTTATAGCTCTGTATCTCGAAAACAAGAGGAGATAGACATATAGTTCATAAGACAAAAAATTTTTATTTTTTGTCGTACTATCACCCTCTGTGTTTACGGGATGTCTTTCTGAAACACCCTGTATATGTACATTGTACCTATATAAAACGATAATAGATGTGTATCAAGACAAAACTGAGATAAATGTGTAAGTATAGTTAGTTCATTGGTATAAATTATCACTCATCAGACAAAAAAAGCCATATCTATATAATATAACTAAAAAAAAGATAACTAAATCCACAGCTTATCTGTGGATGATCATCGTCGTGGTACAGCAAAATGGCAGAACAGTCTGATGGGACGTCCGGTATACTGTAACAGCTTCCAATTTTTCACAATTTCCGATTCGCACGAACTGTAAACCAGTCAGCAATTTTTAACTTTTCGGCCGCAACTATTGAGTGTTGATGTAACTGGTAGAAGAATGCACCAGAATATGCACCATGTACTAAAATTTCCTAAAATCGAGATTTACACCATTGTTAAGGTCTAGTCGATCGCGGAAAACATCAAATAATTACTTGGTGTTGAGCTATATATCATAAAATGGGTAGCTTGTGTAATGGATCTCTATGTGTTGAAACTATGGATAGATATCTTTATATCCAGCAAGGCACGCGAAATTATAAGCCGTTAGCACCGTTTCCAAACAATACGGTCACAGTTATAATACAATTTTCTAATATATCCTAAAGGGATACTTTAAAATAATAATATCGACGAAAATTGCAATAATTCACCCGCTTCACACTTAAATAGCTAACTAATAACTCTCTTTCTAAGAATGATAACTATATCGATATGAACAGGTTTTGTGTTTTTAATACCCTCAAAAACGTTGTTCTATAAATATTCGAGATTACGCCAACAATTCTTAACAGTAATAGGAAAAATCAAATAATTTTTAACAAATGGCATTACTTAATTTTAAACTGCGCAACTTTATATACTAATAACTAGTTACCATTTAAACATAATAAAACCACTCAAATTTATGCAAATATCTCCAAATGAAAGAGAAGGTCAATTTTACGTATATCTGGTTGCATATTAGTAGAAGTTGTCTAATTTTTAAGCGGTTTACTCTATAATTACACTATGGTTAAACACCGATCCCAGGAGGGACGGTATGTCTTTCTATACAAACCTTTCCTAAATAGGCTTCTGTGAATACACTGACATACAGGCCACTAGAAGTTGGGCGAACATCGCGAGCCTTCCCATCCATTTATAAAGTACAATTTGCGTTGCTTGATTTTTCATATCGCTAACATGAATGCCAAGTCGCTAGGCCGCACTCGCCCCATACGACATTGTTTATACCTTTCATCCTAATTCACATCTTATTTGAAGCATCGAGACAAGTTCAAAATTGCAAGATGTCTATTAGGGTCGTCTTTGGTAAAAATGGTGTTAAGTGCACTGAATATAATAAAGGAAAATAAGGAACGGCGTAGTGGCGCAGGGCTTTAAATCTGCATATTCAGACGATAGAACATCAATTCGATACAATTTAACTACCGTTTCGAATAAATTATCGTGCCGAATCGTATCTTGTGAACAGGGTGTAAAATCAAGTATTTTGGGTCCAATCAGTTTTGTAAGAGTTAGGGTCCTTTTGCATATATTATATGTTATCTTAAATCCATGTTTTGTCTAATAAATTTCGTTTTGAATTCGAGTTGCCTTTATGATTATTGACTCTCGTTCCTATATCTATTCAAAAAAATTTGTTTACGATAGTACTACTTCTGAATTCAAATAGTTCTATTGTCATAGGCCTCAAGCAAATAATTATTTCACTAAATGCTGATAATTAAGTTTTTTAACTACGATGTAAAATAAATTGACAAAAAAAAGTAATGGATAATTATATGACGGTCAATTAATTTCACTGCAACCAAATCTGAGTAAAAATTAACTGAATAATTGTTAAATTTGACTTAACTCTTAATTGTTCTTATATGCCCATAGTAAAGTGAACAGTGACTTACTGGGGAGTAAATTCGTCAATTTTGCCTTCAAAAATTAAAATTTATGTTGTAGGTACCTACTCATAAAAAAGTGAAAATTTCCCTCAACCCGGTATGGACAGAAATTGAAATATTAATCAATGCGATGTGAGTAAAATTTCACTCAATTATTTTTACATGTATAAATAATTTTTTGTAAAAAGCAAATATCCAATCATAACTCGCTTTACTAGTATTAGTTTTACATTGGCGGATTTGTGTATTTGCTAATTTTCATGAGCTAGTATAAATCCATGATATTCCTAAAATCATCATGCAGATCAGTTTAAAAAACCTATAGAAATCTTAATAAAAGTAGAAACTAGATTTTTCAGTAAATTGCACAAATATCGATCGATTGTCAATAATATAGCCCTTTTTTCTTTATCTTTTGGGTATTTTGCCACCTGTAAAAAAATTTAAGGTTATGAACGATATGTACGATATCATTTTACATTCTTATAAAAAGGAATTTGCCTAACAAAAAAATACACATTTAAAAAGATTTTCACATTATAAACATATTCATAAGTATTTACAACACGTATTTTGAATTTGATTAAAAAAATCAAATTCAGGGTGTAGTCAAGCTCCTACACCTACCATTTTTTGTATTGTACATGTCTTTTCAAAAATCAAATGTAAAGTTTTCATTACTATTTAATGTTTGTTAAGGCCCTTAATTTTCAAGTAAAAAGCAATCATTTTACACGTTATTTATCCTCATGTACTAGTTAAGAGAGTTCTACGCCTAATGATTGTGTAAAAAAAACCATCCATCAAACTTAAATTAGAAAATGTTACATTTTTCTAAAAATCTCTCCAAATAAATTGTTACATATGTAGGTAATTATGAAATTTTGCTCGAATTTAAACACCATAGAATTTAAGAAGTACCTAATCCTTTAACATCGGTATCAGTAATTAACCGTCTGCGTTTTAGAAGAATTTTCAAGAAAAATACAATTTTAAATTGGTGAAATTTTATTAGAAGTTTTCTTTTTCTCAAAGGTCACACCAGTGCGAATTCGCACCATCGTTTTTTTTTTGAACAGCTGGCATTTCTCAAGTAGCAGTTGCCGAGGGTTC